CACTAAACCAGGAAACTGCTGTAATCCACATGTCAACAGTTCTAAGAGAACGCAGCACAGCTAATACCTTCAGGGCTATTAGGATACTGTCATTCTTTTAATCCCTTGTCAATGCAAATTTACTCATACCTCGAATTGGAAACCTTCTTTTGTTACTAATCACTTGCATACACATTTAATTAATGTAATAGCATGCAAATATCAAGGATTCAGTGCCACAAAATGAGGCTGAATTTGTGCCAACACTGGATTCTGTCTTAGTTTTTCTTGTATTTGAAGCGCTGCCCTTGGCTCATATAATTAGGTTGGTCCTCATGCCAGAGTGATTTATGTATGGCTGAGATGGCCCTTGGACACTGTCTTTATCACTTCACTGAACTGCGTTGAGTTCTTTATAGGGAGCGAAGGTTTTAGCCATGGGTAAAGTAATCAAGAAAACATATTCACAAGGTAATATGGCTGCGGAACAAAACAAAACGTTTAAATCTGTGGCAGAAAGTATAAAAATATATTTTGGAAAAACACAAGAAGCATAGAAAGAAGCATTTCTGTGATAGCGCTAATGGTCATTTTTCTCTGGGAATGGTTTGTTACAGGTTGTTAAGAAAAATTGCTTAGGTGTGTTTTTTGGTCCAAGCTGTGAACATGTCTTGGTTACCTCATTTACTCTTCAACAAAGGAGCTGCAAGAGCTTTCATTAAATTTAATAAAGTCCCAAAGATCATGCTCGTTGGCAGATGAACACATGGTTTCCAGCGGTGATAGCATGTCGAGGACTGACACCATAATGGAAAATGTTGAAGCACACAGAGCCTCCAGTGGAAGGAGACGCTCTAACACTCAGGCTCTTCACATCTTGCTCGTCCTGTTCAATATTTAATGTTTCACAGCTGACAGCTGCACACTCTGGGTCATTAGTAAAGAATGCTACACATGCAACCACTCCAGGCTGGCAAGCACGTGCTTTTGTGCTGTTGTTGAGTGCAGGCCTGCCAAACACACCACGGCTAGGTAGAAGTGAGGAGCTGGGCCTTACACTGCCTCTGACTCTTACTGGTGCGGCCGGACTGGTATCTGTATTTCACGGGCAGGCTACGCGCACGCTGGAGCATGCTGGACTCCTCTGCCACGCCTCGCAGCTTGCTGACCGGGGCCAGGTCTCTGGAGCCTATGAGGCTCAATCTCAGAGTGGAGGGGTCAGTGGGAGAAAGTAGGCTTCCCTTGCGGTTGTTTACCAAGGGGACCGACACAGCAGCAGCTCTAGTGGGGGGGCCATTACAGGCCTGGTTGGCAGTGCTCAGGCTCAGTTTAGTTGACTTGAACTGATAAGCTGATGACTGGATTTGTTGTTTGTTCTTTACTGCTAAATGAAGAGTAGTCAAAATCAGAAAAACGTACAGGATTTGGTACTTTTGTTCCTCAGGCTAACCAAATCACAAAAAAACAACCGTTTTCCACTTAACTCTGGATCATAAAGCACCCTGACAACTCTGTAATGAGGTCTAGATGTTTTGAAATGGTCATGTTAGATTCCTATCTCTTTCCAAAAAAATTAAATATATGGTGCATAAGCATGTAGCATGTAAGAGCTACCAGTATACCTGAGGTGATGATCAAAAGTCATGATGACATGTTTTTAGAAATTTGTTAGCTGACCTTTGTTGTGCTGGTTTGAGAAAAATTGTGAAAAGGGGGGAGTGTTATATGGTAGTTTTGCGATTTGAAAAACACAAAACAAAATTTAGAACGACTTAAACACAACCCGCAGCGTGTGTTGTGTGTGAATAAAACATATTGTGACTCTTCTTAGAACTCAAATACAATAATTCGTTTTAAGGGGTGATTCTTTGTGGCATAAGAATGCTAATGGATGAATAATTGAAAAAAAATCTCATTTTTATTTAACAACACTTTACTAGTTCATACAGCCGCTAATGAAATGTTCTATTTGACATTTACTTGGATATTTATGATAAATATGAATTAATAAACATGCTTTCAGGTGTTTCAACAATTGTTGTGCCACAAGAACAAGGAGGAGACAGTGTGGATTAACACCCCTAACTATCCATATGCATCGTCTGTCTGACGGGGGAGGGATGAATTTAGGATCTGCTACTTTTATTACGGGCGGGATGGGGGTGAACATAAAATAGTAAGAAAAGGCACACTTCTTTAGTTAAAATAATGTCTTGGAGCTAAAACTGGAGATGAGAAATGATTATTTCAACAGTCAGCTGTCTAGAAGATTATCCCTACTATTTCAGACCTTTTGAATTCATCTGGCCCATGTCAAACATGTGAAGCACTTCTCAGGCACAACACAATGTGGCAGATTTGCTGCCTGTCACAGAACCTGTTAAAGTGGTCCACATACAGCTAATGACTGAACCAGAGCTGACAAAGTATTAGATTGATGTTTCTTTTTTTTTCCTTTTTAAAATCATTGATGCTTCTCTTGTATTTACCA